TGTTTTGATGTCCCTGTGCTACAGAGCAGGGCTGTGTGTTCTCATTTAACCATTCTCATTTTGTCTTATTCTTTTCTCTTTAATCAGTTGTTGTTTAATAAATTGTATTTGCTTTGAACCTTATGAAGTGATCACTGGGCCAAGAAGGCCTGCAGTGTAAAGAGAGCACCTCGGAGTGGGGACACCCTAACTCCTGCCCCTAGTGACTACAAGGTCAGGGATTAAGCCCCAGGAAACCTGGGCCCAGCCTTGTTGGGGTTTCAAGGGCTCTGCTACTCAGGAGAGTGGAGGGGGAGCCCTCAGGATCAGGGAGGCCGTGGGGTAAAGGAAGTGGGAGCGGGGACTCAGATCCTTTCGCTGGTTCATTTCACCGGGGTGGTATAGAAGCCAGGAAAGTTCCCCACAATAGCGGGATCATTCCCCCGCTTACACATATTTCAACACCATCCACGAGTGTCCAATGCCCCATGTGTACCCCTGTGATCTACCCACTGGTCTTCAGTGCCCCTCTGTGACCCACCCACGAGTGTCCAGTCAACCACATGCCCCCAGTGAATCACCCACAAGTGTCCTGTGACCCACTCACAGCTATCCCAATAATCACGTGCTCCCTTGTGACTCACCCACGTGCCCCCAGGAGCCAAGGCCCACCTTGCAGGAATCAACACGCACCCCCAGCTCTGGGCAGGGTGGATCTGCCCTAGCCCGTGCCAGCTTCTCCCAGCGCCCTGCAAGTGCCAGGCATGTGGCCACCCCCAGAGGCCAGTTCAACCTGGGCACCAGCGGCACTTGCACAATGGGGCCCAGGCATGAGAGTGCAGAAACCCAAGTGCAGAAACAGCCAGTGTAGCAGGTTTATCTTTTATTAACAGAATTTCCCTCCACTTTGCGTTCCCACCCCAAACACCTGGGAGAGGACGCAGAGAGGGGCCTTGGGAGCAAGAGGAGCTGGTTCTTGGCAATATAAGCGGCAGCACAGGGTGATATGAGACAGAGCGGTGTCTGGCTGTGGAATAGGTACCTAATGGGAGTAGCAGCAACTCTGGGGCTAGTGTGTTTGCAACTACACTGTCTGATGCAATAGGGAAGAGTCTCACTCTGGGTCCAGCGGTGTGCAAACCGGGCCCAGCAGGGTTTTTCCAGCTTGAGGGTCCATGAGTGTGAAATCTGGAGCCAAAGTCTGAAGTGGGTGGGTCCCTGGTGCATTTGGAGCACAGTGGTACTTGGGGTGCTACCTCCCTCCCCCACTCACTTCTCAGCAGCTGCTGTCACCTCCCTGTGGGGAAACCAGGGCGGTCAGAGAATGCGCAGCATGGCCTCCAAGTGTAGGGGAACCCTCAGGCCTCGAGAGGAGGGGACGGGACAGGAAGAGAGCAGGAGGAAGGTCAAGCCCCCAGTGGAGAAAAGGTACCACAGGGAATAGCAGGAAGGCAGGCAGCTCCGTCACTATCAGGTGCTGGAGCAGCAAAGCTCCCCTGGGCTAGGAACACAGTGCAGAGGGCAACAGCTGTTTACAGCACTCCCCTCCCCGCAGGTCTCCCCTTAAGTCCTTTCAGATCCCAGAGGCCACACAGGCCAGTGCAGCAAGGGGTAGGTCTGTGCTAATCCAGGTCACCATCAGCCGGTCTGCGGGTACATCTCCCATCAGGCAACAGGGAGGCCCACCAGCCAGAGTGCTTCAGGGGAGGTCTTACCACCCGGGTCTGTGCTTTCAAATGTCATCCTGGAAAAGAGACAGAAAGATCGACTGGGAGTCTAGAAAGGTCCTGTGTTGTTTCCCCTTCATGCGCCGTGTGACTATAGAAGGGAGTGAAACAAGGACAGTCCATGCTACCAGACATGTTCAAGTTAGAAATGTGAAAGGCCTCCAGTGTTGCCAGAAGCCTCAAATGTGTGTTGGGCCTAAAACGTGGAAGGAAACCCTGAAAAACCAGCCTTGGCCACAGGCAGCTGGGCATAAGCTAATGGCCACAGGGTCTGGAAGGAACCCTGATCAAGGAGCTCTGATGCATGTCCGGTCAGGAGCATGACGAGGGTTTTCAGCATCAGAGACTGGCTACTGCCATGAGCCGGATACTGCACTGGACGGGCCAGACATCAGTTCTTAGTTGTGCAGGAGGTTTGATAAACATCTATCAGGCATAGATAGTGCTTGGTCCTGCTGTGAGTGCAGGGGACTGGACTCAATAAAACCAGTTCTAGGGTTTTATGATGCTGTGATACTGGTTTACATGCACCATGGCGACGTCTAGACTGGCATGATTTTCCGCAAATGCTTTTAATGGGAAAGTTTTTCTGTTAAAGGCATTTGCAGAAAAGAGCGTCTAGATTGGCACGGACGCTTTTCCGCAAAAGCACTTTTTGCGGAAAAGCGTCCGTGCCAATCTAGATGCAGTTTTGTGCAAGAAAGCCCCGATCGCTATTTTCGCCATCGGGGCTTTTTTGCGCAAAACAATACCGCGTTGTCTATACCGGCCCTTTTGCGCAAAAGCATTTGCGGAAGAGGGCTTTTGCCCGAATGGGAGCAGCATAGTATTTCCGCAAGAACACTGACAATCTAACATGAGATCGTCAGTGTTCTTGCGGAAATTCAAGTGGCCAGTGTAGACAGCTGGAAAGTTTTTCTGCAAAAGCAGCTGCTTTTGAGGAAAAATTTGCCAGTCTAGACGCAGCCCCTGTGTTTCAGTTCTCTGCATGTAAAATAGTTAGCTAGGAAAAGAAGAAAATGTTTTTTCTTTAAATAAAGATAAAGGAAATATTTTCAATTTATAGCAAAATTAGGCCCTGCTTTAGAAACGCATCGCTAATCAGCAACAGACTTTAATTACATGCCTCAGGCTAAGTCTACACCGGCACTTTACAGTACTGCAACTTTTCGGCTCAGGGATGTGAACCCCTCCCCCGAGCACAGCAAGTTACAACACTGTAAAGTGTCAGTGTAAACCCAGCTACAGTACTGGGAGCTGCATTCACAGTGCAGTTAGCAAGTTACCTTGTGGAGGTGGCTTACCTAGAATGGTAGAAGAGGCCTTTCCTGGCCGCTCCTGCCATAGCTATACTGTTGCATTAAAGCATTGGTATCTATCCATGACCAGGACAATGATAGTAATGCTGGGAAGTCACACCACACAGAGCAGGTCTCCACACCCAGAAGACAGGGCCACTGAGCACAAGGGACTGTTGGCCTGGAAGAGGTTTGGCTTTAGCCCGTCCATCGGCTGGCAGAGATGGAGCAGCTTGGGAGCCAGGCTAGGGCACTGGGATGAAATGGGCCAGAGGCAAAGAGCCTGGCTATGCAAAATCATCCAGAACTTACTGTCTCAGCCAAGCAGTACTTACCTCCAGGTCATCCATTGCAGGGGGTGGGGCTTTCACGGTGACCCTCTGCAGGAGCTGGATGGGACACAGGCAGTCATGGGAATAAAGAAAGGAACCTACAACAAAGGTGGTGAGGCTGGCGTTCCTCCACCCCCAGGGCAGCGCCTTCCACCCCCAAGGAGCCCACCTGCCCCTTGTGACCCTGCCCATAAGGGAGAAGCACATGTGCCATGCACGCGGGCACAGCTGGTTCAGCCCAACCTGGCTCAGGCGGGGTGCTAGGCTGGAAGTGACTTTGGCTGCAGGTTACACCCCAAGGCGGAAGACCCAGCGGCCATCTTGGGTCTTCCGCCCACAATGGTGCTGTATTAGGACGGCCCCCCTGCTCCCATGGGTGGGCAAGTGGGTGGGGCAAAGCATCGGGATGCAATCCCTGGACCAGTCAGCCTCCCTTGTCAAGCCCCTTGCTGCCGGGCCTGTTCCCTACGTGTACCATGGGGTGGTGCTTCCTTGTCTCACCGAGTGTGGTGAGGAAAAATGCATGGATGGGAGGTGCTGAGACACTCACAGGGACCTGCACCTAGCTAGGCAGCCATTGCAGGGCTGCTACTCTGTACTTCTCTCAGGTGGCTCTGACTCCTCCCTGCACGGGCAACCTGTGGCCTATCGGGGTTCTATGCGTGACCCACGAGACATTTGGTTTCCCATTGTCCATGCGCAGGGTCGCCGGATTCTGCCGGTTTCCATCCACGTTGTTTTTTCCCTACCGGGGTTACTAAAGCGACACGCACGTAAAGCCAGGGCAGGTGAAGTGTGTAGGGTTGCCAGATGGTTTAACAAAAAATACCAAACACCTCCACCTCCACTGCTCCCTCCTGTCCCCCCCTTCGCTAGACTCTGCTACGCTCCTCACTCCCTGCCCCCACCAGATTCAGCAGGGGAAAATTATCCCCGCCAGCCTTCAGTCCCAGGGAAACAGGAAATACCAGACATACATTGCACATGTCCAGTATTTCCTGGTTTTTTTTTACCGGATGGAGCCTGCAAATACCGGACGGTCCAGGTGAAAACCGGGCACCTGGCAACCCTAGAAGTGCGAGACGCGCTGGTTGCACACAACATCGTGAGAGCCGGGTGCTCCCTCTGCAACCAATCCCAGCGCTGCTACGGTTCAGTCGGCGCATCCCGCCGATTCCAGGTAAGCCAGCGCAGTGAGCAAAGCTATGCCAGGAGACTGTCGTGGCCAGGACAATCGTGCGGCCCACTGAGATAAAGGAGGCCAATCATGCAGCCTACTCATGAGCCCAGGTTGCCCATTGCTGCTGCACATGAAGACAGAGGGCCTGCTATTGTCCATACCTCACCTCATTCTGCCAAAGCCACCGTGCATTTCTGCTCCGAGCCACTTGGTGGAGAAACTGAGCCCCCCACCAACAGCCACAGCTGTTGACGGCTGGGACGGAACGTCCCTCCCCATTCACTCTGGAGCAGTGGTCCCGAACCTTTCGTGGCTGCTGGGCACCCAGGGGCGGGGCCACTCATGCATTGGGCGTCTGGGGGCGGGGCCACTCATGTGCCGCCCTTCTGGGGGTGGGGCTGCACATGCACCCTGAGCCCAGGGCCGGCACCACACACGTGCCGCGCGCCCGGGACAGGGGCTGCCCACACGCCCCGCGCCCGGGGCTGCCCACGTGCCCTGCGCCCGGGGACGGCACCACACATGTGCCTCGTGCCGGGGGCGAGGCTAGCCCAGATGTTTCGGCGGGCGCACATAAATGCCCTGGCGGGCGCCATGGCACCCACGGGCACCGCGTTGGGGACCACTGCTCTGGAGGCAAGAGGGAGTTTCTGAGGCAAGAGGGGACGTTATCCAGGCAGGAGATACATTGGTTTTAGGTTTTATAGTCATTTAATTTTGTGAAGTGGGTCTCACAAAGTTTTACGAAGTGCAGCAGCACTTGCCTGTGCTGGAGAATTGATGCTTTACTGAGCTAATGCTCAGACTTTTCTCCTGACCCAGGAACCTTGCATTGAGTCACATGAAATAGGGATAAGCGAGGCAGGCTCCACACAACACCTTTGCCCAGAGGGACTCAGCCCCAGCGGGCTCTGCCGGGGCCGCAGGTCATTGCTTGGGATCGTGTGACGCAGCTGGCTCCCTGCTCAGCCCCCCATGTAAATGCAGGAGCCCAAGACTCACCTCTGCGTACTGCGCAGTCATGGCCAGTTCCACCTCCTCATCCCCTTCCCAGTCTCGCCAGTTATCGAAGTCCACAAACAGCCAGACTGGCTATGTGCGAGCAGGAGAAAGGGCATTACAACCAAGCCTGAGGCCACGCCCTTTCCATGGCCTCATCCCCTCTGGAGTCAAGCCCAGCCCTCATCCTAGGTTACTGCTCCCAGATCCAGTGGGTGGCAAGGCCCCATCCTTCTCAGGTGGCCGGAATGCCTTCCTGGCTGGCTGGAGAACGTGCCTGGGGCTGACACACCAAGCTCCTAGCCCTCCCATGGAACCAGGCTGCTGTGCCGTGGCCCCAGTCTTCCCAGGCAGCCGGCGGAAAGTGCAGGCAGTTTTGGGAAGGCAACGTCTTCCCTTGCCTGCGTTACCCACTGCCCATGATTACAACAGAGGGTAGCCAGCGCAGCGCTGAATAGGGCACATCTGCAATCTAGAACTTTACCTTGGGAGGGGGGGGGGACAAGCTGGGGATAGGATATGGACACCAGCCCCGATCCAGGCCCAGGTGGGGTGGCTATGGGGCCTTCCGCCTTTAGAGTTCGAGGATATATGGCCTTTCGCTGCAAGGCCCTTCCGGAGATTTAGCCCTGATCAATACCAGTTGTTCAGCAGCACCTTGTGAGCAGCCCAGCGTGGGGGTCCACACTGCCCCTCTCCTCAGGGGTCTCAGCCCAGGGGCAGTGAGTGATTCTGGGCTGGTCTCCATGGTACCTGTGCACCTTTCACCAGCTCTAACCCGGGCGTAAAATCCAAGCCAGCCATGCCAGAGCGGTGCTGTGCCAGCTCCCAGCCTAGCATGGTGGTGGGGGCGGACTGAGCTTTTCACTGGGGAAAAGGTGACTCCAAAGGAAGGGGCCTGGGCCGCTAGGGTGCTGTGTTTACCTTGATGTTCTCCTTGGTGAGGCGTGGCCATGCCACCTTCTCCTTCAACTTCCTTATGAAGCAGGTGATGGACCGGTCGGAGCGTTTCTGCTGCGAGTCCTGCCAAGGGACAGAGTCAAGCTCCCTTGCCGGACGTGGCTGCTGGGCACCCCTCCTCCTCTCAACAAGCCAAGACGTCCAGAATGAAAACAAAGCCCTTCCTGAGCTCTGAGGCACATGGGAAAGTGCCGGGAGACCAGGACCCAGCCTGCAGGTATCGCAGCGCAAATCGGGGCACGGGAGAGCTGGCTGTATTAGGAGACTGCAGGAGGAGAGGGGACTTCTCGGGGGATATCTGACAGCCTTGAGCCATCATCTCTGTGCAGCTGGGCTGGTTGGGCATTTTTGTGATTCACTGAGCTAGGCAAAATCCTCGGGGGCAGGCAGCCCAAAACAAAGCACTGATGATGGGAGGGGCTGGGGAAGGCTAGTGGCACAGCAGCACCCAAAGGTGCCACCTAACGACATCACTTTTTAGGTGCCCCACCAAGCTCCACAACCCCTGGAGATGGTGGGCGTCCGGGGTCTGAGCAATGAGATCACATGACGTGAACATAAGAACGGCCAGACTGGGTCATACCAAAGGCCCATCTAGCCCAGCATCCTGTCTGCCCACAGTGGCCAATGCCAGATGCCCCAGAGGGAGGGAACACAACAGGGAATCATCATGTGATCCCTCCCCTGTCACCCATTCCCAGCTTCTGGCAAAGAGGCTGGGGATACCATCCCTACCCCATCCTGGCTAATAAGTCTGGATGGACCTATCCTCCAGGAATTTACCTAGTTCTTTTTTGAACCCTGTTAAGGTGATAGGCCTGGATGGAGGCAAATCACTCCTCCCACCCCCAAAAACCTTCCACGGTTTGTCGGAACTTTACGATCTCTTTGGAGACATCGAGGAGATGGGCTCAGTGAGCCGGGCCCACCCGTGGTTCTTTCACCTCACTGCGTGGAGCGGCTGCTTACCTCGGAAAAACTTAAAAAACAACGAAAAATTCTGCCGCACCTTAGCGACTCACCCAAAAAGTAGATGGTGTCAGGAGCTTTCCTGGGCACAACCCCTTGCTTACCTTGGAGTTCACCCTGGCGTACAGGTTGATCTTGTTGAACATCTCCACCCCATCTGCGTTTTTACAGCTGCCAAAACATAAACTCAGCTCAGAACTGGGCATGGATCGTCTCCCAGAGGATCCTTCCCGCAGTACCACCACGCCGGGTGCTGTACAGCTGCCGATTCAGGGCCAGGCCACCTCAGCAGGGCTTGGGAGCTCACCTGAACACCACCCGGTCGTCTTCAATATCGACTTTAACATCTTTGCTGTCCTCCACGCAGAACTCCAGGAAGACGTACCGCGGGCGGTCGTACCACAGCGTTTTTGCAGGTTGCCTTGGAAAACAGGTTCAGAAGTAGAGATGTTACATTCTGATTAATTAACTAATCAAATAGTCAATGGGATTTCCATTGACTATCCAATTAGTCGATAAGGACTCCCATGTTCCAACTTTGAAATGGGGCTCTTGTACATTGTTCCAACTTTGAGCCCAATGGGGCTCTTGTACATTTCAAAGATTGAAACGCTGCATGGAGCCAGGGCCAGTGGGGAGTCCTGCTGACCCCAGGCTCCACATGTGCATTTCAAAACATGGAGCCCAGGGTCAGCAAGACGCCCCAGGCTCCATGTGGCGCTTCCGCTTTGAAATGTACAGGAGCCCCAGTGGGGACTCTTGTACATTTCAAAGTTGGAACGCTGCTGCTGCACCCCTACCCCTTTCCACAGAGCTGGAGCTGGGGGGGGGGGAGCTGGCTTTTAAGTTGGCTCCCCCCAGCACTCACTCCTTCCCCCCTCCCTTGCTGCCTCTTTGTGCTAGAGGCAGCAAGGGGAGGGAAGCAACTAGTTGATGAGTGCGTCAACTATCCGATAAGCTTTTGCTTGTCGGATAGTCGATTAGTCGCTTACATCCCTATTCAGAAGGGGTGAAGAATTCCAGGGTGAAGAGCTGGCACTGTTTGTCTCGATGCACCCAGAGCAGCGTGTAAGGCCGTGTGTGATGTTCTCAGAGCAGTGCTAAGCTGCCTTTGTTACACCTGCCTGAGCCACACGATGAGAGAGCATGAGACCAAAGAAAAGTGGGGGGTGCACCAGGCAGGCAGGAGCTTGCTGCAGATCCACCAAACTTGTTGCCACACTTCCCATTTGATCTGTACAGCACCCCATGAACAGACCTCTCCCAGCCCCCCCAGTGACAGAGTCCTACAGCCTGCATGTGTAAGGCAAGGGACCGCCTTTACTAAGCACAATCGCTCACTGGAGTGCAGTCACGCTTCCCCCAGACTGCTGCCCTCGCCACGGAGTGCCCAGGCCGACGCTGCTGGGCGAAAAGTCTGTGGAAAGCACCTTTATCTGAAACGTTGTCCCTGCCAGGCAGAGCCGCAGAGAACCCAGTCACTGCACCACTAGGTCTGAGACAGGGATGTAAAATCCCATTTAAACAGTTAACCGGTTAAATCTTAAGTTTAACCAGTTAACTGGGATCCTGCGGGTGGGGGGCTGCTCCCGCCAGCCGGGCTGCCGGTTAACCACTTAAAGAGTGAGCATACTCTTTTCAGTTTAGAAAAGAGGAGACTGAGGGGGGATATGATAGAGGTATATAAAATCATGAGTGGTGTGGAGAGGGCTGTTAAAGAAAAGTTATTTATTAGTTCCCACAATAGAAGAACTAGAGGCCACCAAATGAAATTAATGGGTAGCAGGTTTAAAACTAATAAAAGAAAGTTCTTCTTCATACAGCGTGTAGTCAACCTGTGGAACTCCTTGCCAGAGGAGGCTGTGAAGGCTAGGACTATAATAGAGTTTAAAGAGAAGCTAGATAATTTCATGGAGGTTAGGTCCATAAAAGGCTATTAGCCAGGGGGTAAAATGGTGTCCTTGGCCTCTGTTTGTCAGAGGCTGGAGAGGGATGGCAGGAGACAGATCGCTTGATCATTGTCTTCAGTCCGCCCTCTCTGGGGCACCTGGTGCTGGCCACTGTCAGCAGACAGGATACTGGGCTAGATGGACCTTTGGTCTGACCCAGTACGGCCGTTCTTATGTTATGTTCATAAGGGTGGTGCTTACTGGGTAACGGCTTAACCCTTCACTTCCCTAGTCTGGGCACTGGGGAGAGAGGAGCTGAGCGGGGCTTGGGAGCAGGGGATTTGTGTAATACCTAGTGAGCCGAGTTTGTACTAAGTCAGGGCACTCCTGCGCATTCTTCCACATTCCACTAGGACCCTGCTGGCTGCCACCAGGCCACAGAAATTCGCCCTGACTCAAAACATAATTATTCAGCATCCCAAACTGCCCGTGAGGTCCAGACTTTGCTATTCTGGGGACAGAATCC